AATTGTGGATATTTAAGTCAAATTTTGATGGGGGCTTTGTACAGGGGCTATGGTCAAATGAGACCCTATAATTATAAAATTCATGAGAATCATTAAGGCTAGTATAGAACTTGGTTTTGCAGCTTTTTGTCGAGATACCAGTGTATTAAACATTATTATGAACTTAAGAGCCTTATTCGGCTTGTTCAGTTGTATGGGGGGTAGGTGAAATAATGGACCGATGTTAACCATTTTCAATAGGCTTCGTCTCCGGTAACATAGAAGATCATGTGCCAAATTTCATTGAATTATCTTCAAAATTGCTACCTGTAGTTTGATTACAAAGTTTACATGGACGGACAGACAGACAGACAGACAGACAGACAGACAGACAGACAGACGGACATAGCTAAATTGACTCAGAAAATGATTCTAAAGTGGTGTAGGGTATAAAAATATTTTGGGAAAATTTCATCTCAATATCTCTTTTTTTGTGGACGCTATCGTGCCAACAACAGACAGACAAATTTTCGGATCAGGACCTAGTATGGGAAATATGACCAATTATGAACCGATCGTAAAGAAATCTTTAAGTACCATTTCCGTATATAAAGGCTATATTTCAGTCAAATTTTGTATCTATATCGTAATTTAGTAATAAGTAATGTGTGTTTAACTGATTTTCGGAAGGGAACCTTGTATTGGACCGATCACACCCATATTATGAACCGATCGTGAAAAATCTTAAAATATAATTTTTGTATACAAAACTAATATTTGTGCAAAATTTTGTATCAACAGCTTTATTTGGTAATGAGTAATGTGCGTTTAAGAGATTTTTGTTGGAGGACCTTGTATGGAGCTATGACCAATTATGGTCCGATCGTAAAAAACTCCACCGTAACATTAATGTATATAAAGACAAAATATTGGCTAAATTCTGTATCTATATCATTATTTGGTAATGAATATTGAGCATACAATTGATTTTCTGGAGGTGACCTTGTATGGGAGCTATGACCAAATATGGATCGATCGTGAACAAATTGTATAGTGTGATTTATGTATATAAAAGCAATATTTGTGCTAAATGTGCCGATATCAATATTTAGTAATGAGTTATGTTCGTTTAAGTAATTTTCGGAAGGGAACCTTGAGCTATGACCAATTATGGACCGATCGTAAAAAAATTACACAGTAAAATATCTGTATATAAGAGCAATACTTGTACCAAATTTTATATGGATATATTAATTTAGTAATGAGTTGTATGGGAGCTATGACCAATTATGGACTGATCGTAAAAAAATTTCACAGTAAAATTTCTGTATATAAGAGCAATACTTGTACCAAATTTTATATGGATATATTAATTTAGTAATGAGTTGTATGGGAGCTATGACCAATTAAGGACCGATCGGAAAACAATTTCACAGTAAAATTTCTGTATATAAGAACAATACTTGTACCAAATTTTATATGGATACCTTAATTAAGTAATGAGTTATGTGCGTTTAAGTGATTTTCGGGAGAGGACCTTGTATGGGAGCTATGACCAATTATGAACCGATCGGAAAAAATGTCACAGTAATATTTCTCTATATTAGAAGATATGGATATCTTAATTTAGTAATGAGTTATGCGTGTTTAAGTGATTTTCGGGAGGGACCTTGTATGGGAGCTATGTACAATTATAGACCTGAGTGAATTCTATTCTCATAAGATTTTAACTTGTAAAATTTTGTGTAGATATCCACATTTCGACGAAGTTATTAACAATAAACTCATTTTCCGGGAATATGTACTTTTGTATGGGAGGTATATGAAATTGTAGACCGATTCCGCCAATTTTCAGCAGAAGTCAGGCCTTTGGGCAGAAACAAATGTATGATGTTTTTCATGCAATTATATTACATAGTTGTCGTGAAAATTACATCAGAATGTTAAAAATGCTTATTTTTTCGGAGTAGTTTTAAATTTTGATTCATAACTTTTCCCAATGTGAACCAATTTTGCTCATTTTCAATGCCAAACTGGTTAGGACAATAGTAAATATTTTGGGTGGATTTCGTTAATTTTTGTTGCTTCGTGTTAATGTGAGAATGTTTTATACAGACAGACGGACATAGCTCGATCGACTCAGAATTTCATAAGGTCCAATAATATAAATATTTTGGTGGGTCTCAGATGAATATTTCTTGGTGTTACATACGGAATGACAAAGTTATATATACCCTCTATCTCCACTGATTGTGGTGGAGGGTATAAAAAAATGTATTTTTGTAGTTCTTCATAAATTTTATGATCAATCCATCATTGTTAAAGATTTATTTTGGATCCCTTTTTATACCCTCCACCACCATCAGTGGTGATAGAGGGTATATATAATGTTGTCATTCTCTGTGCAACACCAAGAAATATTAATCTGAGACCCCAGAAAGTATACATATTTTTTTGATCCTTATAAAATTCTAAATCGATTTAGCTATGTCCGTCTGTCCGTCCGTCTGTCTGTGTAAAACACGCTCACGTTAAAATGAAGCAATACAAATTCACGAAATTCACCCAAAACATTTCTTATTATCCGGTACAGTTTGGTATTGAAAATCAGTTAACCGGTTCACGACGTAAAAAGCTATGATTAAAAATTTCCGACTACCTCAAAAAAAATAACGATTTTTTCCCAATTCTTGAGTAGTTTTCTCAGAAACTACCAAAGATATTTCGATGAATTTTGTTTCGATGAAATTTGCACAAAACTAAAGTATGTTCAAACTCAACAATTCCCGGATATATGTTTATCGTAATAACTCCCTCAAATATATCGGTATCAACACAAAATTTTGTACATACAAAATTTAATATGAATAAGTATTTTAATATGGGGTACAATATTAGCTACTGTTTTCTAAAAAAAAAATAAAATAATTAAAAATTAATTTATTTATTTATCGTTTTGGATCAATAAAAACATTATCTTTCATGAAAATTTTTTAGAACATTAAAATAACTTGGAATTAAACCGTCTAAAAAAATGTGAAATTATAAAGTCATGGATTATTTTAAAAATGATTTGCAGTGACTTACGATAGGAACACCTTAACGACCCTAAACGGGATATTGCTTTTGACACTAACATTACAATACTATTTTTGTTTGCTCCCTTCTAATTAAGGAGTTATACGCGTTCAAAAACTATTTAATTAAGTTTAATATATTGGGAACAGTATGCTCAATTTTAAGAATATTAGTATCATATGATATGTCATAGAAAGACCTGGTGCTAATAACTAAAAAATACCTATAATTAGAACAAGTAAGAGTGCTATATTCGGCTGAGCTGAATCTTAATTACCCTCCACCAACTACTTTTATATTAATAATTTTTTAATTGATCAAATATTTGTAGAAATAAGATTTCTCATGTCTTAAATAGAAAAACCCCAAGATTTAAACAGCTTAAATTTGTTACAATTGCAAGATTTATTGAACATTACAAACGCTTATTTTTTCGGAGTTGTTTTAAATTTTGATTCATAACTTTTCCCGATGTTAACCGATATTGCTCATTTTCAATACCAAACTGCCTAGGACAATAGGGAATATTCTGTTCAAATTTTAATTATTTATTTCGCTTCGTTTTTACGTGAGCGTGTTTTACACAGACAGCCAAACGGACGGACGGACAGACGGACATAGCTAAATCGACTCAAAATTTCATAAGGACCAAGAATATATATACTTTTTGGGTCTCAGATGAATATTTCTTGGTGTTACACATGGAATGACAAAGTTATATATACCCTCTATCACCCATGGTGGTGGAGGGTATAATAATTAGATCCAAAGTATACCAATCTGCTTAGAATTATTTTCCGAGTCGATTTAGCTATGTCCATCCGTCTGTCCGTCCATGTAAACCTTGTAATCAAACTACAGGTAGCAATTTTGAAGATAATTCAATATAATTTGGTACATGATCTTCTATTGTCACAGGGACGAAGTCTATTGAAAATGGTTAAGATCGGTTTATTATTTCACCTAGCCCCCGTACAACTGAACCTCCGAGTAGGGCTTGTAAACTTTGTAATCAAACTACAGGTAGCAATTTTGAAAATAATTCGATAAAATTTGGCACAGGATCTTCTATGGTATCGGAGACGAAGCCTATTAAAAATGGTTAACATCGGTTCATTATTTCACCTAGCCCCATACAACTGAACTCCCGAATAGGGCTTGTAAACCTTGTAATCAAACTACAGGTCGCAATTTTTAAGATAAGTCAATGAAATTTGATACATGATATTCTATTCTCCCAGGGACGAAGCCTATTGAAAATGGCTAAGATCGGTAAACAGATTTTCCAATTGGAACATTTGGGAATTTGTTGTTTTGTTTAGATAACTCAAACAAAATTGTAAATTTGTTGCAAGAGATGTAACAAATGAAATAGATTTATTTCGACTTGTACTAATTTCAAGGAACCTGAAATATACTAACTTCTCTTTCAATTGCTGTGGAGACCAGAAAAATAAATATAAAAAAGTGGTGTTTGCTAGTGTTGTATTTCAGTTTTTATTTGGTGTTTATAATATTTAAATTTCTTGTTTTGTTTTGTACAGTGTAGGTTTTAAATATTTTACTATTTTTTTGTTTATTAGTTCAATTATGTTTTTTTTTGTAAATGAATAAATGTATGTGTTTTTGTGGGAACCACTCACAACACTTATTTTTAATTTTGAATGTGTTTTTCTTGTTTATATGAATGTTTGTTTAATTGTTTATATAAATGTTTGTGAATTTGTTTTATTTAAAATTCTTTTATATTTATTTGTTTTTAATGTTTGTCTTTTTTGGTTTTAAGTATTTTTTTTTTGTTTTTTTTTATTATTTATTTTGTTTGTTTTTTATGGCCGCTGGCGTTCGGTTGTAGTCGAAGACTGACTTCTTCTTCCTCCTTAGCCGCGAAAGTACGGCTTGGGCCGTACATACACCGCCGCTGAATATGTGGCCGATGCGGCTTAGTCGAGGTCGATCAAGTCGTTGCCAGATCGATCCTTGACATCACGTCCCTTTTGCACTGGTGCAATATTTAATGCCCCCGACAATTGGCCCACAGCTGCAACAATCTGTTGTACCAATTCCTGGGCATTTTGGGTAACTGCAACAGGTTGACGACGGCGTGGTTGGGGACGACGACGTTGTACTAGCTGACGGCGACGTTGAGGTAGCTGCTGACGGCGACGTGAAGATTGCATCTGCTGGCGAGGTTGTGGTCGACGACGTTGTTGTTGACGACGTTGCGGTTGTTGTTGACGTTGTTGTGGTTGTTGTTGACGTCGTAGTGGTTGTTGACGATGTCGTTGGGACCGCTCAGGATGCAACATGGTGTGATGCAAATCTCCACACTCATGACAGGCCTCCATTGAAATACATCCTCCGACTAGATGCGTGCGGGCGAAGCAATTAGAACAATAGCGATGGACCCGAACGACATATTGTCTTTGTTTTACCGTCATCTTCTTAAACTGCCTGCAGTAGCGAAGAGGGTGGTTGCGGAAACAGACCAGGCACATTTCAGATTCAGGGAACTGATCCATCTGCAAAAGGAAAAAGAGAGAAAAACAAAGCAGCAGCAATGGGTTCGCTAACACAAATTTGAACAATTTGAACAGAACATACAATTCTAGTCAATCTACTGCCTTATCACAAATCGGAAGCATGCAAAGTTTGACAATTGGTCTGGTAACGGTTCCAGACGCTGTTCGGACGTCAGCTACGCGAACGCGTTTATCTTTTCCTGTATGGACTAATTCGACGCGTCCCATTTTCCACTCATTTGGAGGTAGAAGTTCATCCTTTATGACTACAAAGTCGTCTTTCTGCAAATCCCGTTGTGGATTTTTCCATTTGTAACGCTTGTGGAGTTCATGAAGATATTCAGTCTTCCAGCGTTGACTAAGGCGATGAGCCTCTCCCATCGGTTTATTATCGACAAATTCTCTAAAGGCAGTTCATCAATGGAGCTCCTCGTAAAAAGTGACCAGGAGTTAGGTCTTGTAAATCTTCAGGATCCTCGGACATTGGGGAAATAGGCCTGGAGTTTAGGACACTTTCAATTCGGGTTAATAGAGTCGAAAACTCTTCGAAGTTAAACCTTTGATTGATTAAAACTTTTTACACCAGCCTCCCAAAGACCTCCCATATGTGGAGCACTAGGTGGAATGAACTTCCACTCAAAGCCATGGACTGCATATTTTTTACTTATATCTTCTGCGGATTTCTTAAGAAATAAGAGAGATTCTTTTCGCAACGATCTACTCGCGCCGAGAAAATTTGTGCCATTATCGAAGCCAACCCTCTTCTACCCGTAAACCGTGCGAAAGCTGCTAAAAAGGCGTCTGAGGATAAACTAGAGCACGCTTCCAGATGTATAGCTTTTGTGGAAAAACAATCAAATATACAAGCGTATCCTTTTATATATGGAGAGTTTCGCAAGTTACCCGATTTTAACTGAAATGGCCCAGCAAAATCAACACCTGCATAAGTAAATGGTAAAGTAAAGGAGCATCTTTCTGGGGGCAAAGCTGCCATAATCTGAGACTTAAGCTTTTGCTTATAACGGACGCACACTAAACAATGGTGAACACATTTTTTAACAGTTCTTTTGAGTATTGGTATATAGAATTGGCTTTGAATTGCATTCATCATTAGGAAAATGTCAGCATGCAACAATGTTTTGTGAGTAAAATCAAGAAATATTCTACAGAAATTAGAGGAGTTAGGAATGCTTAGAGGGTAACTTTCATCATAGGTTAGAGATGAATTGGCTAATCTACCGCTCATAGTTCCATTTGAATTCAGAAATGGGTTTAAAGTGAGAATAGAACTTTTTCTTGAAATTAGTTTCGCGTCAGAGAGCTGACTGTACTCTTGAGGATAATAAACTCGTTGAGTTAGTTTGATCAGCATAAATTTTGATTCTTTAAGCTCCGTAAGGCTCAGAGTCAAACTAGAATGCTGAACCTTTAAACCTTTCTTCCTGATAGCGTTAATAAACCTGAGCACGTAAGCTGTAACAGAAAGAGCTCGAGGATAAGAGGAGAATCTATCGATTAGACTGTTGTCAGCCGGTGTTGAAAAACAAACTGAACTCCTCCTTTTTTCCGGAAGAACTTCAGGTGGAGAACTATATTTGGGACAATTTGCTTGGGAATCCAAGAGCCACATTGGTCCATACCACCACAATGGGTTGTTAACAAGATCTTGTGGTTTATAACCGCGAGTGCCAAGATCAGCTGGGTTGTGATCCGTTGGAACGTGATTCCAACTAGCATTACTAACATTCGCTATAACCTGAGTTGTTCTATTAGCGACATACGTTTTCCAGACTGATGGAGGTTTTTGTAGCCAAGCTAAAACAATGGTTGAGTCTGACCATAAGTAAAGCTTTGGGCTGCAGAATGGAAGGTTCGTAAGTATTTGCTTTACGAGTCTGGAAAGCAGAAGAGCTCCGCATAACTCAAGTCGAGGTAAACTTATTCGTTGCAAGAGCGCAACTTTACTTTTAGCAGAAAGCAGATGTGAATACCGAATACCAGAGTTCTCGGATACCACATATAGTGTAGCGCAATAAGCCTGCTCAGAAGCGTCACAAAATCCATGTATTTGGATATTATATTGTGGATGGTAGTGGATCCATCTTGGAATTTCAATGGATTCGATATTAGGGAAACTATCAACAAATATTTTCCATTTGTCAAGAAATTGTGGTTTGACCTCGTCATCCCAGCCGACCCCGTCTTGCCATAATTCTTATAAAAGAATCCTGGCTTGATTAATAATAGCCGTAAGCCATCCTGCGGGATCGAAAAGTTTAGCAACAGCATAGAGAATCTGCCTTTTTGATGCCGATGATGTCGAATTTAATTGTTCTACTTTATAAGTAAGGAATTACTTATAGCATTACAACGAATTCCCAAAGTTTTTGTTGAACTTGAATCATAGAGTTTCAAAAATTCTGTGTTCAATAAATCATCAGATGATATCTGAGACAACAAATCTGGATGATTTGCCGTTATCTTTTTTAATGGGAACCCTGCTGATTTTAAAGTATCAATCAGATGTTTTTGAGCTTCCATTGACGAAGACAATGAATGGCCTCCGGACAATATGTCGTCAACATATGTCTCTTTTCTCAAAATTCTTGCAGATAAAGGACTATCTATTCTAATAGAATTTGATGCTAATTGTAGAAGGGTCCTAATTGCCAAATAAGGTGCACATGCTATACCGAAAGTTACCGTTGTCAACTCAAAATCTTCAATTGGACTTGAAATATTTTTCCGAAACAAAATTTTTTGATACGAACGATCAGATTCATTAACTAATATTTGACGATACATTTTTTCAATGTCTCCATTAAAGACATACTTATATAAACGCCAATTTAGAATGATTGTCATTTACTTTTTAATGGAAGTTTAACTACTTATCTACCATCGGACTGCCGAGAAGTTGTTTCTTTATATAGATTTTCGCAAAAGAGATCTGCTTCCGATTGATTAGCTATTTTCGGAATTTCCTCTATTTCCCAGAACTTTCTTAATATTGAACTAATACTTTCATTTTCGCTTTGTAAGTTGTCTATGGCCGTAAGTGAAATTGTGTGCAATTTCGTAAATGTACCAGCCATAAATAGAATTCTGAGCAATTAAATTACCCAAAACGTTTTTCTTTAGTCCATCAAGTATGATGTGAGGAATTATGTCACTTCCTAGCAACATGTCTATTTGAGCAGATACTAAGAAATTGGGATCAGCTAAGCATAAGTCTCTGATGTCGGAGAGATCAGAAATTTCTATTGAACAGCTAGGCATGAAATTTTTCAAATTGGAAACAAGTATGACTTTTGTTGTTAACTTGAATTCATGCCTTTGATTGTATAAAGTAATAGAACTTACTTTATTAGCATTAGCTACTACTGTACCACCCAATCCGCAGATTTCGAAATTTGCATTTTCCGTAATCAGGTTTAGCCTTTTTGAAATTCTACTAGTCAGGAATGATCTTTTTGAACCAGAACCTATCAGTGCTCTGACTGTAAATGGCTCACCACAGTGTAAAATTTGAACAAGCGCTGTGGGAAGTAAGATATCATCCTGATTAACGGTTAAATGGGTCTGAGTGTTAGTTGCTTGTGTAGTTGATTTGTAACAACATGGATTTCCTGAGAGCTCAGTACTTTCTTCAGCGTCTTCATTCTCTATATCTATTGGATCCGCATGGAAAGCGACCGACGCATTTTTCTTAGTAATCTTTTTTTGAGAACTTTGATTATCATTTTTATTCAAATGTAACATGCTGTGATGTTTATTACCACATTGATCACATCTGTTTACACTTGTACACTCAGAAACATTATGAACTGGGGATAAACAGTTAATGCACATTTGATTTTGTGCGACAAAATCGTTTCGTTGCTGCTGAGAGAAGTTTGAAAATTTTTGACAAAATCTTAAGTAATGATTTTTGTCGCATAACTTACAATGAGGCACCCGAAGGGCTTTGTTATTTGTCTGCCTATTGGAATTATTAGAATTATAATTCATTTGATTTCCTTCATTAAGTATTCCTACTACTCTTTCTACTACTCTGTGCCTTTTTATTAGAAATTGCTCCATTTGAGACCATGATGGCAATATCGAATTCGTCGTTTGAGATTGTTCCAAAAGAGCGAGGGTCTCACTTGGTAGTTTTGTCGAACAAAGGTAAACGAGAATTGGATCCCAGTTTTCTACCTGTACGCCATGAGATGACAACATTGCCAGACAATCAGTTATTGTTGTTTGTATTTTATTAATCGCTTCAGCGGATTCAGTTTTGGCAGGTGGAATATTGAATAGAGCCTTCAATTGTATATCTACAAGAACCCTTTTGTTTTCGTAGCATGCTCGTAAAGCACCCCATGCTAACGAAAAACTTTCATCGGTCAATGGATATTTATTTACAATAGAACTTGCTTCACCTTTTGCCTTTCTTCTTAAGTACAATAACTTTTGTACGTCTGGCATTCTTATTTTACTGATGTAAACAGTACTGAACATGTCTCTAAATGAAGGCCACTCTTCATAGGAGCCATGAAAGTCAGGTGCATCGCATGGTGGAACGTTGACACCCATATCTGGCGCTTCATAAGTCATGTTCAGTGGATGGTAACTAGATGGATCAAATGCTGAGGAATGAGAAGGACCATTGTCTCTTTGATTATTTTCAGCGGAAGCTTTGGACATTTTTATAAAATCTATCAGCTCAGGTTTGGTCTCTTGATACCTATCCCAACATTCTTCATAAGTGGATTTAGCATTCGCTTTATAATCTGGGCTGAAGATTCCGTCATCAGCCATATATACGCCTTCATAAGCACGGCGTAGCGACTGCCAATCCTCTTCTAGTGTTTGCAGTTTTGCCTCTAAAAGAGATTCAGTCAAATCATCACAACCTAGACTTGAAAATTTATTGCACACACCCATTAAATTTTCTGATTCGTGAATGAATCTAGTACATATTTGGGAACCCATTGTACTTATTTTCTTTTACAATAAACAAAGGAATGTGACTTTTTAGTGAACCCAAAAAAAATATGTAATGAAAATTACTATGTGACAGTAGAAAAGTACAAAACGAACTATGTACTAAAAGTATTAAACACTGTATGTAGGGTACCTCTAGTAAAATATTTCTAAAGTGACTGACAGCACACTATATAATCAAATATTAATTGAAGAATGCCAATAAAATCTACAATTTCAATATTTATCAAAACGAATCTTGAATTAGAAATGCCTATTCGAAAAATAGTAGGGTGTATTTTAATAAAGAACTTTAAAATTAACACCGAAATATATAAAATTAATTTTCTATAGTTATTTAAAAAAAACAAACTAAGCGTTGTACTAATATTATCAGCCTGTAAAATGTAGGGTACACAATTAACTGTAACAACAATTACACTACTGATAAATAATTTTCTCTTATTTTCTTTTATGCTTTATTCTTCTTGATCAGGGATGGCAAATTTGGTACGATGGTACTTTTTTTGATACTATTTGATGTTCAAATGTACCGTGATACTCCCGAGTCTTATTTGATACTCTCAGGGCCAATATCTCAACCTCCGGTTATCGTTTAACAGGTGGATATACCGCTTGTTAAAATAATTTTTGTATGTAAAATGTCAATTTATCGTTTTGATAAAACATAATCAGACAATGAGAAAATGGGGGTCAAAGTATCTTTAAAAGTTCAAATTTGAAGTTCTAAGACTGTTTTGAAATCTAGTTTTAAAAGCCACTTTTTAGAAGTATGTTTTGCAAATAACCAATGCAGCTCATTTCGAATTTTTATCTTGATTGACATTATATGAATATTAATCTAATTAAATTCCATTGTTAATATTATATGAGAAAATTACCAAAAATTTCAATTTTGATAAAATATTTGACTTTAAAACTAATTATTTCCAAATGATAGAAGATCGAAGGACTCAATTTCTATCTAATATAAAACGATATGTTTTGAAATTAAGAATTCAACCATAGATAATAAGAGAAATTTTTTGGTGAAAATTATTTGGAATTTAAAGCAAATTATTGTTTCATGTCATGGATGGTCTTATGTATGGTCTCATGTGTAGAATTTGATATGACTATTGATTTTTTAACAAATGAACACCTATGTACATCGAATTTTAATTTAATAACACATATGTGTTATTAAATTTGGGGCCCTACCAAATGAATTGGGGCCCTACCAAATGAATTTTGATTTCCCACCGGAAATCAAAATTTAGTTCATTCTAAGATACCATTTCTCAAAATTTTTGTGAGACGATTTCAATGACATACACAAATTCGTATACAACACCAAAATGATTACAAATGTCGTAATTTTTCTGAAAAATTTCAAGTTTTTCATACTTTTACATAGAAATATATAATGTAATTAATTGAAATTATTTATAAACCTCAACTAAATTTCACCGAAATGGTTTTTTCTGTTTTTCGAAATTCTTTATGTTTTGTATTTTATCTTAATATTTTAAACTCTATTTTGTCCCAGGTATTCTGTTAGCTATATTTATCTAACATACTTAATATGTACATCAGCATACGCGTAATTTCATTAGCTTTACAATGGTATATAACACTTTATGGTTTCATTCTATTATCAATCAAAATTTTTCAGTTTAACTAACATAGTAACATAATTTATCCTAAATATCTACTTGTTTGTTACGCTTGCTTTGTAAATAACGATTTCTATGTTATTTTTTACATTATTTCGCGATGTTTTGGTAGCGTAAATAGGCTTCGATAAATTTTAATAAAATTTGATCTAGATTGAATTTTGAAAAACGGAAAAAAACCGTTTCGTAGATTTTATTGATTTCAATTAATTTCAATTAATTATATTAAAATCATATATGTTAAAATGAAAAAATCTGAAACTTTTACGAAAAATTTTGATTACTTTTTCTGTTACACAAAAATTTACACAAATCTGGTATGCCATTGAAAGCGTCTCCCCAGGACCTTTCTAATGATACTAAAATTTTATATCTTTCCTTTGGATGAAATATGAAAAAAAAAAATCATAAAAACCTCAAAAAAGGACCTTTTTATCCTTTGATCCAGCTCGCCAAATATTAACCCCAGGACAAAAATTTTGAGAAACGCTATCTTATAATCAATTAAACTTTAATTTTAGTTGAGAACCAGGCCATTCTAATTTATATAAGAGATTTATTGACAATAAACTATAGTTACTAATATTTGTAGCTCAATTATTAGCGTATAATAAATAAATAAGTTGAATTTCTAAATTCATCCTTGAGTAGGGCTAAATGTGGCCTGAATTTCTTTAAGACAGGATTTATTAAAATATAGCAAATTGTATCATGACTGATTTTAATATACATATTTACGAAGTACAATATCGGGGTAATATTTTTATGGTAGCTATATGATAACATGGACATTGAAGTTCATCAAATTATATCGAAAAAGTTAAGATTGAGGGACGGACAAAGATTCATTATATCAATATATGTATATTAGGGTGATCGATTCTGTTTTTCAATCGGTCATAAAACCGTTTTTTCTGATTTACCAGTGTCGGTTTTTTCTAAATGTTGATTTTTTCGAATATCGAATAACCCGGTTTTTTAACTTTTTAAAAGCCGGTTTCGAATACTTTTATTTGCTTTGTATTCAAAGATTACTTCAATTAAATTTTGAAATAAATAATAATACAGCCTGTCTAAATTTCAAGAAACTAGAGTATATTTTTCTAAAGCACCTTTGGTTAAACTTTTTTGGTTTTCCTAATTATGAAAATTTACTTGTAAAATTGATTGGAATAACTGTTGGATAAAATTTTATCAATCTTAAGATTATATTCCAATTACAATAATTAATTTGTCGCTGAAATATTATAGCAGTGTTGGAATGCCTATGAAAATTTACTAAACAGGGACTTAAACTAAGATTATGATTCCTCCCAATTTTTTACATTAAAGAAATAATGTTTTTTTCAAATTAAACTAGATGTTTTTATTTATAATTATAATTATTTCTCTGAATTTGAAAAATATCAACCGGTTTTTTTCAAATGTTAACAATTCGAACTACTCGAAAACCGGTTTTTGGAAAATGTCGAATAATCGATCACCCTACGGTGTATATAATACCTTTTCTACTTCTGTTGTTGATTATTTAAAAATGTCTAAATATGTGAAGGTGTATTTAAGAAATTAAAAACTTTCAGCAAAAAAAAAAAAAAAATATTTTAGTACTCTAAGATCCAAAAAAGTACCCTCTGAAATATTTTTTGATACTGAAACAAAATCTCATTTTCCATCCCTGTTGAGTACTATCATATGTAAATTATATTAAGAGAATTTTAATGAGAATAAAGCTAGTAAATAAAAGAAAAAACCACCACCAAATGTACTAATCTACACACAATATTTTAAGAACAAAATAATGTGAAATCGAAATAAATCTTTGTTGTAATAAACGATTTGCAAAATAAAGGGAATAAATTGAAAATTTATTTTTTATTTTAATGAAATTAAAAACTTTTATTTTGCCGATTCTTTGACGGTTTCAAAAGGCTTGGGCCGTACTTACACCGCCGCTGAATATGTGGCCGATGCGGCTTAGTCGAGGTCGATCAAGTCGTTGCCAGATCGATCCTCGACAATGGGTCCATTATCTCACCTATACAACTGAACCCCTGAATAGGGCTTGTAAACCTTGTAATCAAACTACATGTCGTAATTTTGATAATAATTCAATGAAAATTGACACATGATCTTCTATGGTACCGGAGTCGAAGCCTGTTGAAAATGGTTAACATTGGTCCATTATTTCACCTAACCCCCATACAACTGAACCCCTGAATAGAGCTTGTAAACCTTGTAATCAAACTACAGGTCGCAATTTTGAAGAGAATTCAATGAAATTTGGCACATGATCTTCCATGGTACGGGAGACGAAGCCTATTGCAAATGGTTAACATCAGTCCATGATTTCATACACAACTGAACCCGATGAATAGGGCTTTCAAGTTCATAATTATATTTAATATAATCTTATCTCGACAAAAAAGCTGCAAAACCAAGTTCTAGCCATTATTACACTCATGAATTTTATAATTATAGGGTCTAGGCCTCGCCCGACTATAATTTCTTACTTGTTTTCTATGAATATTAAATTCAATAACTAACAAGTAAGAAATTATAGTCGGGCGAGGCCGACCTTATAATACACCTGTTACAAAAAAAAATGAGATTTAGTTTTCATAATAAAGCATTTAAGTTGAATTGTACCTTGTCTCAGATATACTTAAGCCATTTATTGTTGAATAAAATTGTGGACATTTAAGTCGAATTTTGAAGGGGGCTTTGAATAGGGGCTATGGTCAAATGAGACCCTATAATTAAAAAATTCATGAGGGTCATCAAGGCTAGTATAGAACTTGGTTTTGCAGCTTTTGTCGCGATACGAGTATATTAAACATAATTATGAACTTAAAAGCCTATTCGACCGGTTCAGTTGTATGGGGGCTAGGTGAAATAATGGACCGATGTTTACCATTTCCAACAGGCTTCGTCTCCGGTAGCTGTTACAAAAAAATGTGATTTAGTTTTCATAATAAAGCATTTAAGTTGAATTTTACCTTGCCTATGATATACTTAAGCCATTTATTGTTGAATAAAATTGTGGACATTTAAGTCAAATTTTAAGGGGACTTTGTGTAGGGCTAGAATCCTATAATTATAAAATTCATGAAGGACATCAATGATAGTATAAAACTTGGTTTTGCAGCTTTTTATCGAGATACGAGTATATTAAACATAATTATGAACTTAAAAGCCCTATTTGTATGGGGGCTAGGTGAAATAATGAACCGATGTTAACCATTTCCAACAGGCTTTGTCTCCGGTACCATAGATCGTGTGCCAAATTTCATTGAATTATCTTCGAAATTGCGACCTGTAGTTTGTTCATTGAAT